AGGCAAAAGCTGTAGGGACAAAATGCCAAAATCTCATATATCCAAAAGGTCTCATTGGCAGTAATTTAGGAGAGGCATTTTGACTTTTAGAATGGGAAAAATGTACAAAAGGCAAGAAACTATCAAGCAACCAGTGATGGGGAAAAACTGGGTGGGGCCAACTGGAGAAATCCCACAGAGCCAGATCAGGACTGCAGGTAGGTTTGATTTGGCCCTGGGGTCTGCATTCCTCAGTCCTCCTATGTCTGAATAGAAGGGCCTACAAAGACCATATCATGTTTTTTTCTCCAGTAAATGTTTAGTTAGGGAATTGTTCTGAGACCTGTTGTAGCAGGCATGGTATCATTTGTTTAATTTGCTTCCAAGATGATTTGCTGCTTAGACAAGTGGAAGATAAACTTGTCTTCCGGTAGTGAATTTAACAATTCTCCATGGTAGGACATGATCTGTCATCTCATATTTTCCCTATCAGTGTTCTCCCCCTTGAACTACTAAGGAGTTCATGAGCTTGCTATAGCATCTGTTGTTGTTTCTTCTAATGGCTCCCTTCCCACTCCCTCACAAAACTTAATACCTCTCAACACAGGCAATGCTCCTCCAGTGGCCTTGCACCCTCCTCCTGAGAAGCCCATATATATTCCATACTTTCTCTCAAGTGAGCTACAAAGCTGGCAGGTGTTGTAACTGAAGTATACATAATATATATAAATCACATGTTGTCCAATGTATTTGATTGACCAAACAATGGCTATTTGTAGACCGTCCATAGGGAGTCCTGAACTTCACAGCCATCAGAGAAAACTGCTGTATTTGTACTGGGCACAGCATGGTGGTATGCACTTTGTGGTGTCTTTTTGACTGCCAGATTATGTAAGTGTGTGAGGTAGGAACATAACAGGCATAATGCACCACTATCGCAAGTGGATCAGTTCTTTCCATACCTTGTTAGTGTGAGAACAGTAGTGCACAATGCTGTGATTGGTGGATGTCTGCTGTGTTGTCATGGATGCTGCAGGAGTGTCTATCAGAGTTGCTATGCTACATCTTGTTTAAAGTGGTAATGTTTTGCTGTTGACTTTATTGTTAGGAGTTGATAGTTTCCAAATGCAGCAGTCTTTCAGTGACTTAAGTGGGCACAGACATGGTAGGACCACAGCTTAAATTGTTACTTGAACTGTGACTTGGACCGTGTTTCCTCATGATGGTAGGATATCTAATTTCAAGACTTACCAAGATAATGAAACCATTTAACCCCACACAAACTTCTCTAATAGTCTGTTCTGGGTTGTATCGTACCTAAAATCAACACAACTTTTGAATCTGATTATTCTATGGGAATTCTGCTAACATACTATTGGGAAACTAATGCTACAAACTTCAAGGCAGCAAAAGCAGCAAGTCTGAACCGACAGAATGGGGGATGGTCAGCTTGTGGGGGAGGAGATGTCAATTCCTACTCACCAAACAAATTAGTTTATTACGTTCATTATGTGGAAAACATACCCATATTCACAAAAAAATGAAATAATTTCTCCTAGGAAAAGGAACAATCAAACTAATACATGAAAGTACTCAACACAGGCAAAAACTTATATACACAACAAACATTACAGGCAGTTATGAGCTACTTGATTACTTAATGAATGTGTGTATGGATCTTCTTTTCAGCATTTTAAGGCACTATACAAGATGAAAACACTACTTGTTAATATTGGCTTTTGTAAGTAAAAACTACTAAGGTTGGACAATGTTTGGGCCTTAGGCTCCATGCAGCACCTGCAGTCCGCAAATTCAGTAACACAGAGGCCACAAAGAATCAAAATCACAAGAACTGATTTGTTAACAAGCTAATTTTGACCCCCCCCCTTTAGTATTCCAAAGCTGTTAAAGAAAACCAAAAGGATCAACTTGAGGTAATACTGCAAAAATTCATTCATTCATTCTGCTGTATGGTGTTAACATCAAGGGTGGGCAACTTGTGGCTCTTCATATGTCTGGCTCCTGTCAGCCATCACCAGCACCACCAATCATGAAGATATGAGGAGTAATGATCCTCCAGACCTTTTCACCTACAAGCTGCCCACCACTGTTCTGCACAGCTTTTCCTCCCCAAGTACAGTGATACCTCGGTTCATGAACTTAATTCATTCCACGATTCTAGTCGTGAACCGAATTGGTCGTGAACCGAGTCAAATTTTCCCATTTGGTTCACTGTAAGTAAGGTTCCTCTGTTCTGAACCATATGTAATTATTTTTAACCACAAAAATATGAAACAAAGTACAGTACAGTATGAACAGAGAGAACCCTAGCCTTGCTTGAGGCAACTTCTGGCATGGAGGACAGGAAGGTGGGTGGGGAGGTGGTTGTTTGGAGTAAGTGACCATGATCTCAACTAGAGGAAGCTGTGATCACATGTCAGAGTGAGGAAGATGGCCGCGTTCATATTTGTGCGAACACGATTGCAGCCATCTTCCCTGCACAAACACAACTGCAGCCATCTTCCTTGCATGAACATGACTGCAGCCATCTTCTCCCCTCGAACACGCTCTAACAACTGGTCGCAGTGCGGGAACGATGGCCGTAATCATGTTTGTGCGGGGAAGATGGCCACGATCGTGTTCATCACCCGATGCAGAGTTTGTGAACCGAAGCAAAATTTTGCCGAACTTTCTGTTCGTGAACCAAATTGTTCGTGAACAGAAGCGCTCATGAACCAAGGTATTACAGTACTGCAACTGTAAAAAGACTACAACAGATTGAACAGTAAGTGTAATTTCTGGTTTCAGTCTGTGACTATCCAAAACTGAAGAATAAACAACATACATATGATTGTCAGTTAAGTAAGAGTAGAGCATCAATAAAGACTTGGTTTTGGACCCAGGAGATGAAAGTTCAGACCACCTTTCCTGAAGTCTCACTAGCCTGGTTTGTATAATGCAAAAACCTCTGGTTTGTTAAGCGAGGGTTGTTTGGAAGTGAATGTGCTGGCTCCCAACTGTTTGTTTTCTACTGGTGTGCTAAACCCAAGAGCAAGAAAAGGGTGCTTGCATTGTTTAGTGCACCAAAAGCAGGAAAACAGTTGCAATCCAGTACTTTCTCTTGCTCCCAAACATATGGTTAATAACCTTTGCTGTTCCATTGTGCAAACAGGGTAACTATGTGGTCTATTAAAATTATCATGTTGCAATTGTATGCACACTTACTTGTGAGTGTTCTCCATTACTCCAAGTAATGGTGGTAATCCTAGCAATCAACCTTAGAGAGTTGTCTCTATGGCAAACACTGTAATACACTTTGCAAATCTGACTGATCAGTAAAAGTAATTCATAACTTAAGCTTTAACTTTTGACATATTCTCATTCATTCTACTTATTTTTTCAAAGAGGTAATACAAGATATTGTAGCTGAACATTTCACTTTGGTTTTTACAATTAGGATTTCAACAGTACAATTTTCTAATCTTAAAACATTCAACAAGCATAAAGATATTCAAAATCAAGCCAGGGGAACACATGGAGGCAGCCATGCAAAATTCTAAAACCTTATCAGTTGTGCTGCTGCATAGAGAAACCATATAGTCTTCATAATGTGGAATTATTGAATCACATAAATACTCTAACTTCACTTCTAATTTACAGTCCTAGAGTACAATAGTAAACACTGGTATTTACCTCTGTCCTTTCCTTACAGAGAATGGGTTAGAATTGGATTTATGATTAAGCTGTGTCTTGAAGACATTTAACATCCGAAATATTCAGTTTCTATTGGCAATATGTGTTGGGCTGAACTATCATAACTACACTGATGAGAGATATGCTGAGTTTGCCTGCAAAAGGGGGATCCAAAGAAGTTATCACTAGCATGCTAGTTTGCAAGTTACAGGCAGATCTTCCCTTTAAAAAGAGAGCTAAGTTCAACCAATAGTACACAATGGCTGGACTCATATAAGTTTATTTATTATTATTATATTTAACACTTTTGTATACCATCACAACAGCCTCACAGCTCTCTGGAAAGGTTACATAATAAAACCATAACAAAATATGGCACCCCATGCTCAAAGTTGAGCATGGATTGTTGCTGACCCATGAGTCACTGGGTTGTATTAAACCAGCCAACTCATGAGGGGAATCCACTTGTTGTTGCTGTGTTGTGCATAGTTTATGGTTAATACAGCTGGGTTCGCAAAACACAACAGTTTTTAAATGACATGCCTCACTCAACTATACATATGGTTTGTCAGGTTGCATGAACTCAGTCAATACCAGCTATTAATTTCCAATTATCATTTGATGGCCCTGCAGCCAGTCATCTCACCTAATTATCCAGAGCCAGGCAAAGCAAAATGCCAAGCAAACTTGCCATGTAAGCACATGTATATCCTGTGCGAACATGTGGATGTTCAGATTTGGGCCCCCAAACTCGCTGTTCGGACTCATACTTGACACCCAGATCTCGCACGCACAATCCCGAACCAACAAAACTAATGTTTGGCCACACGGTTTGCGGATTACAACAAGCAGAGTGGTTGGTCATCCTATAGTTCAAGCGGGAAGCTGATTAAGGCGGGGCTGTCAAGCCCATACACTAACTCCCGTTTCCTCGTCCCTCGCCTTCGTACACTGCGCGGGATGCGCACGTGTGTTCGCGGGCTAGGTGTGACCGACGCACCCTTATTCGTCGCACGCTACCCGAGGAAAGGCGGCTGCACAGGCCCCCCCAAGGCAACCTCCCGTACCCCGCTCGCACGTTTTGTGGAAGAGGGGAGTCTGCAGGGGTCCCGCCCCTCCACATTAGTGTGGACATCGCCCCCCGCACTCTTCAACCGCAAAGGAAAGGGCCTGTCCCTTTAAGAGAAGGCCCGGCTGCCGGGGCCACTACTGAGGGAGCGGGAAGGAGGGTCGGGTGGTATGTGTGTGTAGGGGTGAAGCCGCGGCTTGGCCTAACGGGTCCCTGCTACGCTGCTACCTATCCCGGCTGGCAAGTCACCGCGTCTCACCTGGGTGCGTGGCCCAGTTTGGGCCGCGGGTGGCTCTTGAGTTGCCCGGTCTGCTTTTTCCTCTCGGCCTCTCGCCCTGCGCTGCGTTGGCGCTGCTTGTGTCCTGCCGCGGTGCCTCTCGGCTTCTGCCTCGCCAAGATGGCGGCCGCGCTATTGCTGCTGAGGAGGAGGCGGCGGCTGCGGGCGCTGGGACGGCGGCGGCGGCCACTTTCGCTCACTGAGAGGAGAGGAGCAGGGACACGGGGAGCCATGGCGGGGGGGAGGAGAGGCGCCATGGCCAGGCAAGAACAATCGAACTCGGCACTCCCAGCTGGCACTCCGAGCCCCAACCCACAAATGCTCCCCAGTGTGCTTTGCCGCAAGCGCTACGTGGCCCCCGAGCCCACATCCCGTACTCGTCCCCCCACACAGAACTCAGGAAGACCCCTCCAACATCGATTCGTTTATTGTTCGACTGGTCGGGTCTGGCGATGACGGAAATTGCCGAGTGCTTTCGGCCGAGAAAGACTAGCGTGAGTTAGCAATTCTCGCGCGAGGCGCTAGAAAATGCTCGCGAGAGGCAGGTTCCAACGGGAGTACCCTGGAAGTGACGTCGTGCTCCAGTAACCTTACCCTTGAGTCTTGTGGGTGGGCCTGTCTGTCTCTGCTGCGCTAGGCCTGGCCGTTGTATTTACATCGTAGTTTGGTACTGATTATCCATTCATCTGCAAATGTTGTGCTTTCAAAGCCAAGTCCAATTCATACATTTTAGGATCCTCTCGTGGCTAATTATCTCCTGCTTTTCGTCAGTTTGCTTTTGCTAATGCTTTGTCTCGGCTTAAGGCGAACAGTGAAGTGGCCAAGTTTGCTAATAACACCTAACTTTGGGATGCTTAAAAACAAAAGAGATTGTGAAGCGCTCATAAGGATCTCGCCAAGCTGTAGAATGGGCATCAAAATGGCAAATTTATTAGTTTACCCTTGCTTATGCAAGAACTGCATGTTGTGATGAAAAATTCCAACTTGGGTATAGGCTGATGGAATATGAGCTCTCTCTGACTGATCAAGAAAGGGCTCTTGGGGTTCTGGTAAACAGCTTGATGAAAATTTGGGCCAAGTGCATACTTGATGTGAAAACCACACGTTCTGTGTTTGGCATAACTAGTAAAAGAACTGCCAAAATTGTACTCCCCTCATAAAAAGCTTTTGTGGGCTGCAGTTAGAATATTGTGTACAGACCTGAGAAAGGACATTAGAGTGCAAAAAAGCAAGGAGAAGGCAGCTAAAACAAGCAACTTCCCTGTGAGGAACTGTTAGAACAGCTGGGATTGTTGAACTTAGAAAAAAGGCAAAGAAGGGCAGACATAAACGTGTTTAAAGTATACATAGTCTGGAGAGAATAGAATCCCCAGTTCTATAAGAGCAACTTCCCATAGAGCTGGGGTCATCCCAGGGAGCTGACCAGTGGGAGTCAGAACAGCTCAAAGTACTTCATACAGCACATAGTTAAACTGTGGAATTCGTTGCCACAGGGAGTAGTAATGGCTACCAATTTGGGCAGATTTAAAATAGGATTGAACAAATTCATGGAAATAATCAATGGCTACTAGCCTTGCTAAGTATTACCTTTGATAGAGAGGCAGCATACCTATGTACACCAATTACTAGGGAGCTTGGGCAGAAGAAACTTTCACACTCATCCAGCTTAAGGAATCATGTACACAGCTGGTTTGCCACTATGTGAACAGAGTGCTGGGCAGGAGGGGCCACTGGTCTAATCCACTGTAGTTGTTCTTCTAAGATTCTAAGGATATCTTGGGGAAGGGACACAGTAATTATGGAAGATTTCAGTCTCCCGGATATTAGTTGTGAGACTCACTCAGTGGTGACAGCCAGGTCATACCGCTTCCTAGGAGCTATAGGAGGAGGGTTTTTCACACAGGGTCCGAGAGGCAACGAGGGGTGGAGGGAACATCCTTGGCTTGGTCTTGACCAACAGGGAGGAGCTTATAGATGAGGTACAGATTAGGGGAGCTCTGGATGTGAGTGATCACTCCATCCTTTGCTTTGAGATCAGGGGAACGGGGACGTGCAGCAGGTCGAGCACTAGAAGCTGGGACTTCAAGAGGGTTAACTTTGGCCAACTGAAGGCCAGACTGGGGAAAGTCTTGTGGGATAGGTTACTGGAAGGCAAGCGAGTTGAGGAGGGTGGCTGGCACTCAAAAGGGAGGTTTTGGAGGCGCAAGCCTTGACGATACCTCTAGTTAGTAAGGCGGGGAGGCAAAGAAGAGTGCCATGAATGCGAAAGGAGGTGGTTAGAGGAATTAGATGCAAGAGGAACCTCTGTAGGAAATGGGCACTGGGGCAAATAGACAAAAGGTTATACCGGGAGGAGGAGGCCTGTTGCAGAAAGATTCTTTGCAAGGCTAAGGCCGATTATGAGTTGAGACTTGCAAAGAATATCAAGAGTAACAAAAAGGGCTTCTATCAGCATGTAAATAGCAAGAGGAAGGGGAGACAGGTAGTGGGACCACTAAATAAAGAGGAAGGAGAGACAGTGACTGATGCAAGGGAACAGGCACAGATGCTAAATGACTATTTTGCCTCTGTGTTCTCCCCAAAGGAGGACGGGGGAGATCCACATTAGAGATAAAATGAGGCTAGGGACTTAGGGACACAGATTAGAGTCACTCCCCTAGAAGTTGCAGGGCTCCTCAGTGCATTGGACATTACAAAGGCACCAGGCCCTGACGGGTTACACCTGAGAGTACTTCAAGAGTTGTCAGGGATTCTTTCATGCCCTCTGGCCTCCATTTTTGAGGCCTCATGGAGAATGAATGGAGTTCCAGAGGACTGGAGGGTGGCGTCAGTGGTCCCAATTTTCAAAAAGGTTAGTAGAACTGACATGGGGAATTACAGACCAGTTAGCCTTACATCCATTGTAGGAAAAACAATGGAAAGGCTCATAATAGCAAGATATCTAGTGATGATAGATAGGGAAGGGAGGCTGACAGCCACACAACACGGTTTCTGCAAAAACAGGTCCTTGTGGAATTCCATGACAAGGTTTCGAGGTGGCTAGATGGGGGGGATGCAGTGGATGGGGTTTCCCTGGATTTCAGCAAGGCCTTTGACAAAGTGCCCCATGATATCCTGGTGGAGAAACTGAGGAGTTTTGGGATAGACCAAAGCACTGTCCAGTGGATTAGGGCATGGTTGACTGATTGAAAGCAGAGGGTAACCATTAGTGGGGAATCATCAGGATGGTGGCCAGTGACAAGCGGGGTCTCCCAGGGCTCTGTCCTGGGGCCGATCCTGTTTAATCTTTTTATCAATGACATGATAGAAGGGGTGAACAGTCTGCTGATCAAATTCGCAGACGATACTAAAACTGGGGCAGCGGCCACAACTGAGGAGCAGGTACTCCAGATCCAAAAGGATCTGAACAGACTATGGAAGTGGGCAGGAGACAACAGGATGGCGGTCAATGTAGATAAGTTCAAGGTCTTGCACTTGGGGCATAGGAATAGCTGTCATAAGTACAGGTTAGGTGATAAGTGGCTGGAGAGCAGCAGTTGTGAAAGGGTCCTCAGGGTCCTGGTTGACTGCAGGCTGAACACAAGTCAGCAGTGTGATGCAGTGGTTAAGAGGGCGAACGCCACCCTTGGTTGCATAGCCAGAAGTGTGTCTTCTAGATCGAGAGAGGTATTACTACCCCTCTATACTACTCTGGTGCGCCCGCAGCTGGAGTATTGTGTTCAGTTTTGGGCCCCTCATTACAGGAAGGATATAGCCAGGTTAGAGTCAGTGCAGCGTAGTGCCACAAGGTTGGTGGCCGGTTTGCAGGGGATGCAGTATGAAGCGAGACCGAGGGGACTGGGTCTCTTCAGCCTGGAGGAGACTCAGAGGGGATATGTTGGCAACATACAGGTATGTGAGGGGATGTCACACGGAGATGGGTAGAGACCTGTTCTCCCCTGCAGAGGAAGGCAGGATGCGCTCCAATGGAGCAAAGCTCAGGAAACCGAGGTTCCATTTAGATGCCAGGAAGCACTTCCTGACAGTCAGGACCCCGACGGTATGAAATGGGCTTCCCTGGGAGTAGTTTTGGCCCCATCCATGAGTTAATAGTATTGCAATCACCCTTATTTGCATGCCAAGACTAACGATAAGCCCCTGTGCCTCAGTGATCCTTATGTTAATATATTGCAATCAAATGCCAATGTATTGAGCCCCCTCTGCAGACCTCCCACCTTCTTCTGTGTTCACCTTATTTCCTCATCAACTGCCCAGCTGCTGGGCCCATGTGACTCAGAATCTATAAAATACTTTGTGTATGTTCTAAAAGCTTGTAGTTGGTGGTGGAGACCACTACTTGGTAGCACCTGTCGTAAGTAACTGCAGGGGGCCTGGGTGATCTTAATCAAAAACGCTGGGGTTCAGAGCGATTCAATCTTCTCTGCAAGTCCTGGTAATTCATTCTTGCCATTAGTAAAGAGACTGTGACGGCTGCCTCTCCAAGGATAGTAAATGCGGCTTGAGAAAGGAGGTGGTCCACTGGATATGGAGGAGACTGGAAAATCAGGATATATCTATATTAGATAAAGTTTGAGCCTCCTTCCCCTCTGCCTCTAAAGCTACATGGACTAAAAAGTGACAACATCAAAATTGTCTCTTTCACTCCCCCTGCTCTGCCAGGAGGGCACAAGAAACTTAGAAGTCTATAAGGTCAGGGCTTCTGAACAGTGAGGGTGCATGCCATTGGAATTTGTCTTAATTTAGAGGGGGAAAATGTTTAAGGAAAGTTTCAAAAAGTTGAAAGAGAATGTTCTCTGCAAGGTTACTGGTACAGTGGTGAAAGAAAATGGTAAGGGAATCAAATCCATGATTATTCAAACACCAGAAAGTAGACTGATTTTATTTACATATAAAACATAACTGGTTTTAGAGGGAAAATATCTCCCAAACAAAGAGTAATTTGTTTATCTTTGAAACATGCATTTTCAAAAACTCAAGGTTTGCTCAAATCTACACCTCCCCCATGTTAAGCCTGTGTTCAAATAAGCAAATTTCAGATCACATGCTTAATATAGTTTTATTGCTATTATGCTACTTGATTCAAGACCCTTTTTCATCTCTTTTTTTCCAAACAAAAGAAAGTTATTTTTGAAACCTGGAACACAGTAATTGAAAACAACATTTCATGCAGTGTAGTTCATGCAGTTTTTTAACAGACTTTATACATATTATGCTTATAACGTGCTTCCATACTTGCATCTATGTTCAACTGCAGTCAAACTTTCCTCAGAGTAGAGATTAGGAAGAGGCTGTAGTTTTTATTAGAAAAAACAGCTCTCTGTTCCCTTCATATAAGGTCATACTGTACAAATATTAGATTTCCATTAATACTTTGTACAATAAACATGACAGTATTTTGACATCTTAAAGACTATAACATTTTCCAAATTTAAATCTGTACAATGCCAAAAGTCTGTTGTTTTTGCTGCAACAAGCTAACATAGCTAACCTTTTGGAAAGTGCGCAATAAACAAACCTTGTATTGCTGTCGAGACAATTTCACAATCTCAGTGGAACATCTGTTCCAAATACATTGCTGCACATTTTGTATTATGGGTAAACAGCCAACTATCCCAGGCCAATACTTTATAGGCATCCAGCAATGCAAATGCATAGGACAAGTGAGTGTCTCCACAGTTATTTTTAAAAATTAATGTAATATGTTGCATAAACAAGGGGCGAAAACTCCTCCCCACACCCAAACAGTACTGGAAACATTAACTTCAGACATAGTTGTACAATTTGGGATATTCTGATTTAACATAGCTCAGTAGTCCTTTGCAATACTCTCAAAATATGGGACTTATCTACAGAAATATTAATAATGCCAGTTACATCCATTGTGTTTACATGAGGTGGGTCCACACAGCAGCAAGATAAGGAACACTGAATACCACAAATGCTTCTGTGTTTCATAATGGAAGTCTTCCAGTATGGTTGGAAACACAGAGGTTCTAACAGAAACAGTTCCTGCTATTTTGTTCCACTTCTTGAGGTTGACAGCCAGTAGCGAAATTCTGAACATAGAGCAAAGTGAAGTATTGAATCACTTTCTTCCCCCTTAAGTGTTACAGTAACCTGTGGATAATTGTCTTGCATTTAAAAAAGGGATTCTGCTACATGGCTCTGGACAAGATGGCTCTACAGGATTCAAAAGCAATCTTAAACAGCTTTAAATAAGAACTGAGAACTGTTAATTTTTTGAAGGTAAAAGGCCAGAAGTAGAAGGAGCTTTCATTTCTCCATGCTTGTCTTTTGTTAATCACTGTCTGTTTTCTCCTTCTAAAGCAACACATCTTTTGTTTGTTTTGAATGTTGAAGGCAGGCACTTCAAATTCAGCTCAGTCTCTTCAAATTCTGATTTACAACAAGCAGAATCATTTGGGCCTCTTGTTTCTAATTTCAGATTCTATATTACTACAAATTTTGATTCCCCTAATTATAACAAATATATTTTCTGCTTTTCTTTTTCAGAATTGTTCTGACTGACTTGGTCCCAGAGATGGATAGAAGTTGCATGGAATGTTTCAGATTATGCTACTTGTTTTCTGAGAAGGAAACCATCCTCATTCAGCTGAAACTTCTGCACAGCATTCTGTCTTCGTACCTTCTGAACATCTGCCAATTTTCTTAGCTCTTGTGGTAGCTCCATGCAGGAAATCTAATTAATACAGACACACACATACACACACAATTCAGAGCTTTCATAGCTATTTTTCATCAATATTGTTCCTTTCATGTATAGCTACTACATCTATGAATAAAGCTAAATGGACAGTGTTTTTAATCCTTTAAATAGTTGTGCATGTAGCTACATTAAGGGTTGCGTCATATATTACATTAAATGGCATGAGCCCACATTTCCACCAAAGCTGAATCTTGGTCTTCTCCGAAGGACACAGGCATCTCTGAAGACATAAGCATATTGCCAAAAACAGCATTTTTATTTTTTTCATTCTTCTAGTCATTTTGAATCTTTCACATGTTTAAGACACCAAAGTGCCCCTCCATGCTTGACGCATAAAGCCTCCAAACTTAGAGGCTTACACACATCTAATATACAGTACATAGTGCAGTGGCATCAGTTTCCAGTGGCCAGCACTTCATGCCCTGCAGTTCACCTAGGCCAGGGGTTGGCAACCTTTAACACTCAAAGAGCCATTTGGACCCATTTCCCACACAAAAGAAAACACCGGGAGCCGCAAAACCCTTTTGACATCTAAAATGAAGATAACACTGCATATATCATTTTTTACCTTAATGCTATGTATATCTTTATTATGATTTAGCTGCAGCTCTTGTTCAGTCACTAAAAACTGTTATTTTTAATCTTATATTATAAACTAGTAGTACTCCTTTGAATAGGAGAACAGCTTCCTGAAGGGTCAAAGTCAGTGCTAAAGGGCTGCATACATTAAACAGCAAACCCCAAAGTTCATCAGCAGTAAAAGCAAATGAATCTACCCAGGTATCATTAAACGTTTGGTTTTCTTCAGAAACTTTTCTTCGATTTATCCATGGTTGGCCTGGGGGGGGGGCAGGGGGGAGATCAGATATAGGTGTGTTTAGTGACTGATTAGCAGATAAACAGTCAAGTGCTGTGAATTGTGACAGGTCCCAAGTGCAGCTTTTAACATTCAGATGAATGAGATTACAATGGGACAAAGAGAATCTTTTCGTGTAACATGAGAGCCTGCAGGAAGCTTGTTTAGCAGAGGAATGTAGCTAAACTACATTCTTAACTAGCTGATTTACTTAACTAGCTAGCGCTGCGTTCCTGAGTGGAGCTTCTTCGAGCAGATCAGCGGCTGTGCCTGCGTGTGTTTTGAGCGACAGAGCCACAGCAGAGGGGTTCAAGAGCCACGTGTGGCTCCAGAGCCGCGGGCTGCTGACCCCCGACTTAGGCAGCTCTTTTCACTATCCAGTGGAGGTGGAGGGAAGGAGGTTGGAGTACAGTTTGGACACAGCATCAGCTGTCTGCCCCACCCTCCTCCTATTCCTGCCCCTGGCATATCCCCTTTCCTTCTTTTCATGGCCAATTTCCAACCTCGGAGAGGAAGCCAACATGGCTCTTTCTACACCAGCTCCAAAGGCAGAAGGGGCTTGTTGTTCAATCACCCAGCTCTGAGGTTGCAGAACCTTGGTGCTTACAATGGGAGGCTATATATTTGTGCCCTTAATATTGTAGCTCTTTTTCAAAAGTGGTTTTATTAAATGTTAATTGTATCTGATTTCTTTGGTTGGGTGCCTTAAGAGCAATTATGTTATAGGATATCATTGTCTTAAGAGCATTTGATTATAGGATCAAATAAAATAAGGAACTATAGAGGAAATATATATTACCTAATTAAACATGTCAGAGAAAGAAGTAGAGTTACAGAAAAGAATGCAACCAAAGCCTGGCATCTTAACAAAATATTCTTCTGATAACTATGGATAAACTGTTTTTGCATTATGAATTCCAATAGTATCTGAATGTAGTAGTCAACAGTTTGGAAATATGAGAACAAGATTGGCAGCTATAAGGAATTAGGTAATCCTGCTGACCAGAAATGCTACTGAAACTATACCTACCTCAGTGCTCCCAAGAGAGTCTGCAGATCCTTCCCGAAATGCATTTAGGTATCCATCCACCAAAGTTGTTAAATCGGACATCATTTCATCAAGAAGCTTCAAGCGGAGAGGGAGGAGGTATGCCGTTTCCAGAGCTAATACATTGAGCAATGCTGGTGGAAGGGGTCTCATAAACCATACCTCAGGATTTTTCTGCAAGCCCCAAATTTAAAATGGTAATATTATTTATTTATTTAGAATTTTTGTATACCGTCCCATCACATAGCCTCGGGACGGCTTACATAAACTAAATAAAATACAAGTAAAACCCAGATTCACCCTGGCTGCAAATTAAAACCTATAGATGATATTAAAAGTTATTAAAATATTGTTTAAATAAAAAGGTCTTAGCCTGGCGCCGAAAAACAAATAACGACGGTGCCAGGCAGACCTCTCTGGGGAGCGCATTCCATAGGTGGGGCACCACCACAGAGAAAGCCTTCCTCTGGGTACTTTGCCTCCTAATGTCTTTCACGGAGGTTTCCTGGAGGAGGGCCTCTGCTGCTGATCTAGGGGCGGGAGGGCAAATATGGAAGAAGGCGTTCCTTTAGGTATACTATGTTTAGAAAACAAAGGGGAAATATAAGCTGTTTAAAGACTGAAGTTAAAAATGCAATTGGTGGTATAGCTTAGTGGCTGTGAATCGGAATTCATGCGGAGCTCTGAGTTGATTCTTGCCTCTGCTATGTAGTCACCAGATAAGTCATTATGTCTCAACATATGCCTCGCCAGGGTGGTTGTAAGGATTAGCAAGATAACATTCATTAATATCCTACAGTGAAATGTAAATACTAAAGAACAGTAATATGCTTTCTATTAGCAATGTAAGATCATTTTAACATGCATCTTATGTATGTTGACTCAGAAGTTCACTGAACCCAACCACGCACACTTGTCATCACATGTGTCTGTGCCAGTTCCAAGCCCAGAGAAATGGAGAGGGTTGTGGAAAGACCTGGCAACCTACCTCAGAAAAACTCATTAAGAAAATCCTATGGAACAGTTCTTAAACAATTCTGATATAGTGCCCAGTGGGGAGACCCCCAGACCAGAGGGTCCCCAACGTGCAACTGAGAAGGAGCAAGGACCCTCAGCAAGTAGCCCCGGTTTTTATGACGCACGTGGGGCAAATACACCAGGAACCTCAGACGTTGATGCTGTCATTAGCAAAAGCAAGGGTCTGTGCTGCACGAAGATACATCAAGTGGCAACTTGGAATGTCAGAAGAATCAGCCAAGGCAAAAAATGGTCAAGTTAAAAATGGACCTTGTTGGCATTAGTGAATTACATTGGACTGATGATGGTTACTGCCAGTCTGAGGACTTCACCATCTATTACTCAGGACATGAAATCATGAAAAAGAATGGAGTGGCCTTCATGCCAAGTAAGAAACTGGCCTGAGCTGTGGTAAGCTTTTCAATAGTAAGTGATCATATAGGCCACTCAAATTCACGCTAAGCCTCTTAATATCACAGTTGTTCAAAGTCTATGCTCCAACAACTGGTGCAACAGAACTAGAGGATTTCAATAGAGCATCCAAAACAAAACAAAAAAAAAACCCGTAGAATGAGTGCCAGGAAAAGACATTTTTTACATAATAGGTGATTCCAATGCAAAAGTTGGCACTCAAGCAGAGGTAGGCATCACTGGTGATTTTGTTCTAGAGGACAGAAAGAAGGTTGTTTTAGACAATTCTGCCATGAAAATCATTTCTGAATTATGAACAGCTGCTTCAGACAACAGAAATGTCACTTGTACACGTGGATTTCACCAAATGGGCTACACATAAATCAGATACTGTCCTTTGCAGTCATCACTGGACTAATTCAATCTGTGCAGTAAAGATGTATCCAGGTGTCAATGGTGGCTCTGTCCATGAATTACTGGTGTCAAAAATCAAAGTGAAATTACATAATACCAAAAAGACAGCAACATCAAAGAATGTTGACACCACCAAAATCTCATCCATGTTTGTAATTGAGATAAAGCATTCACCAGAGTCACATCTGCATGGAAACATGTTGCCACTGCTTCCTTCTAAAAAGGCCAGTATATAAAACACAGCTCATAGACATGACTTTCCCTATAGGCATGTGTAGTTTGCCTTTGTTGGTGGTAGAGTTTCTGTGTCTAGCTGAGGCTTGGGTTAGTGTTGTTGTTTTCCAGTCTGAGAGGGCCTACAAGGCCCTAGGCTCAGGAGGGGCTGCTTGGCTGGCTGTGAATTGTACTATTGCTATTGTCCAACTCCCCTCTCCCTTCCCCATGTTACCCTATGTTGTTCCTTTTAGCCTGTAATGTTTTAGTGCCCTCTACCCCATGTTTTACCCTTTTAATAAACTTGTTTTGTTCCCCAAGCTTGGGTTTGTCATGTGCTGAATCCAGTGTCTGCTCCAGGAACTGAAAGACCAAGGAAAATCTGGGCAGGATTTTGCCCAGTTGGCCCGGAAAATGGGGAATCTCTAACTGCTTTCCACTACTGTGATGACCAATGCAGATTCAAGGAAAGGAGGCTTTAATCAGAAGTGTGTACAGACAGCAGATTTATATACTATGCTCTTCCAAATGGGGAATAGCTACATCTAAAATTGGGAAATCAGTACACTGATCAGAAGTCCAAAACTTAATTACTGCAGTTTGGTAACAAATTGATTTATACAGAGAGCCTTTCAAATATGATTTCTTCTTAGGATTTCCAGTAAGATTCAGATATGATGATTTCTACTTGCCAAGTTTTGGTAATTGCTTCCTAATGCTGTAAGCTTACTTCTTAACTACCTCCACAGATGCAAGGCAGCAACACCAAGGAGATCGCAAAGTACTTGTGTGGCCTTGCAGACCAAACTCTGTTCCTGCAGCTTTGAGAGTCATTGGACACTTTACCAAGATTAGTAAAAGCTTTCTCTGGGTATGCATTGTAAGGGATCTTTCTAACAGATGGTTTAACTGGAAAGTGCAGGGGACCCTGTACATGTAAATGTGTGATGGACTGGAGAAATATGCTACAAAAAGTCATTAGGAACAATATTAAAGCAAACTGGACACTGGGTTATTCTCAATGCTGAGACAAGCCAGTATGAGGGATGTCCAAGAAGAAAGAATGAACAATGCTTTCCTGAGCTCCAAGACAGTTACAGGGTCCGACATAACAGGTTTGAAGAGTTTAATGGTTCAGAGGTACAGAAATGATCATCAAGATGACAGGCTTTTTGCTGCTCTTGCCTTGCTTGCCACCTCACTTTACTCACAGTGGAACTGATTGCCCAGGTTTGGGCAACACAGCAACCCTCCATGGGTCAAGCAAGCTTTAGAACAGCACATGGGTTCTCATGTTGGCTTGCCTGGAAAAAAAGCCACCCTGAATAAAGTGGTATGAGTTTGAATGACATAACACCCCATCATAATTTGTTACCCATGATGGGTTGTTGTGTCATCTGAACCAGGTCATTGGCTATCAAAACAGATTGCAGAAGCTAACTGTCAAGCCAGACTTCACAGTTTCTGGGAAAAAAAGTAAGGGGATAAAAAGGGAAAAGGTTATGGCAAGGGAGAGACAAGTCGGTCCAGCCGCAATAGCCCCTGGGATACCCATAGGAGGACTAATGAGAGGGAGGGGGCAGACAACCCATGATGAGCCCAATTCTCTATTTGGAATGATCACAGAATCAACCAATGTGCCAAGGTGGATTAACATGATGTACAGATGTGCCTACCAGCTTTACCACTTAGCTTGTATTAAAAAAAAGAAGAAGTGCATGGAATGAAAATTCCAATTCCAAACATATCTATGCATATTTAGATTTATTTATTTGTTTGTTTGTTTATTTATTAGAACATTTCTATGCCGCCCCTTGCCGAAGCCTTGGGGCGGCTTACAACACAATAAAATACAATAAAATACAAAAGTAACAATATAAAATTAAAATTAACAATATAAAATAAATAAAAAAATATAAAAGATATAAAAGAAGTTATAAAAGAAAAGAAGTTGCCCTGGCCAGATAAAATGGTTTTTTGACCATTTTAATGCCTGGGTACTAACTGTTTTGCTCATACCATACTCTGGATCACAGCCACATGCCAATTATACTCCTTCAGGATTTTTAGCAACTTCCATTTTATCCTTGATTTTATCTTTTCACTGTCCTTCCATCTTTTCAAATGAACATTTTCTGAATTTCTTAAGAATGAACATGAGGCTGCCTCTACTTCTTTCCAGTCTTTTAGCTTACTTTCATTTATATCTTGAAGGATTACTTAAATGTTGGTCTCTGCTTGCCCTCAGGTTAACAGGATTATTTGGAAGGGCACTTTAGTTTTACTGTTTCTTTTTCAAATTAGCACCAAATAACCATAACTATTGAGTGGTATTGTAACTATGGATTTTGTATTATACAGTGTGTGTTATATCTTGTAGTAGTACCTAGGCCTGTGCCAAAACAAAGACATTTAGTAAACACATACTCTATCTTTGACAACATTTCTTTAATCACTAAAGCACCCCAACAAGCAATTCGATAAACATAAGGGACACACTTTAAAAGGGCTTGCAATTAGATCTGATTTTCTTTAAAATGATAGATGCTGCCATCCCAAATGATCTGCTTACCTTAACTGCACACTGCCTTTGTTCCATGAAAGACACAGACTTGTAGGACATTCCCAGGTATTGCATTAAGCATTCCTGCAAAGTGCTGATGCGGTGGGGAAGGAAGCCACCTGTTTCCATTGAAAACTGCAAGACATCAGCAACCTGCAGAAGCAAAAAGGGATCAGTATGTCATGGCCACAATGAGTTGACCAAAAGCAAATGACTGACCATAACAGATTACTCCTGTTATCATCACAACCTGGCAACATTTCATGTTACTTAGGTAATCTCAGTTCGATTTTTTTTTGGTATTATTATGCAATAATAGGCTTTTTGCAGTTTTAAAAATATTCTTTAGCAATTTACTGGGGTAATTTAGGAGTGGGCAACTTGTAGCTTTCCAATGGTTTGCCCTGCAGCTTCTATCATACGTCCCCTTTAGCTTTGCTGGCAAAAGCTGATGGAACTTTTGAGTTTAAACATCTGGAAGGCCACAAACTGTCCTACCTCAGTGTTGTATTAGCAGAAGATATAAAATCACTGGAATACTGTTAGAAGGTATACACTGAGATCTGATTTGCATATAATTTTAACTCATGGTTTATGTAACCAGTGGCTGAATTCAGACCACATGATAATCCATGCTGAAGAAATGAGTATGGGTTGAGTGCTGGTTGCCACTGAACCATGGGTTGTTGCTGAAATGTGGGTCATCATGTTGTGTAACCCATCCACACTAATAAGCCATGGTTTGTTAACCATAAGCCCAGAGTTTATAACTCAACAAGAAGCCATGAGTTCTTTTCATGGGTTGTGGAATAGTAAATATGGGTTACTGTGTTGTTTGAACTCAGCCTATAGGTTGTTGAATTCTAAGTTGTCTTATTGGATGAATCCAGCCATACTAAGAAACCATGTTTGCTAATCATGAGCAATCTGGAAAGATAACCCATGGTTTGTTGTTGGTTTCTGAACTACATCTTATTTTAAACCATGGGTTGTGATGTATGGGCCAAGTATAGCCTGTTGTTCTTGAATGGTTTCACCAGGCTAGAGGTGGCAAGCAGGAGTGGTAAAAAAAAACCACCCAGTGTTACATGTGCCAGTGTTACAGCTTCATAAAGACATTCAGGATACACACCAAGGGAGCAGACAAAGGAGAAGGGAAACTTACAAGACAGATTCAGAAAAAAAGCAGGGTGTAGTCAGTCACCTTTCAAACAAACCATGGATTAAAATAAACAATGTGTAATCTTATGTGCAAGCCAGGTCTAAGGTTACTTCTGGTTATTTTTCATTAACACCAGATAGCCGCAATGCAAACATAGTGCCTAAGTTTATTTCTACAACCATGAGACACCAACATTATAAGGCTTTCAAAGCTGAAGCAGACTTTAACTTAGTTATAGATTTTTTGGATGTTGTATGTATACTGAATTAAGGACAAAGATTATTGAGGGCAAGGTATTTCTTTATGAAGTGGTTTATCTGATCATTCTTTAACAAACCATCCAAACAAGCTACCTGTGTGTCAAAAATATTAGAGAGCGCAATTCCATACTGGTGGTAAAGACAATCAGAAAGCCACCGGCAGTCATGGATAACCTACAAAATGTGAGGAAGAGGAATACACTAGTTAGCTGAAGACTAATACAGTAATATAAATGCAATTTGTTTGTTGCTGTTTTTACGTGATTACATACTATCATTTTATATATTCTCAATTGTCCTGTTCTACACAAATATTCTTAACGGCCTACACAGAAGCCCTTCCAAAGTGGTATAAAACAATAAAATAATCAAAAATATTATATTCAAATAAAAAGGCAAACCCCTTTTATTTTCCCATTATTTTAATGTTATTAGGGTTTAATGTGGGTTTTATTATACTGGAAGATTTGGATGCTGTGCTCCATTTCATTTGTGTTGCTTTTATTGTAAAACCATCCCAAGATGCTACTAGTTGGACAGGATATAAAACCTTTAAAAAAATCAAATTGATAAACACAATTAAAACAATAAAAATAGAATGAAAACAGTAAACATCAGTATAAAATAGACAACTGCAACCACCACCCAGTCTATAATACTTTTTCTGGACCATCTTAAAAAGCCTGCAATAATAGGCTCTGGTGGGCATTCAATGGCAACTTATTTGCAAGGTGTGGGGCCACTGAGAAGACCCTCTTTTGTGTGCTGTCACCCATCTAACTGTTCTCACAGGTGTGGAGATGAGAAGGGCCTCTCTTGCTAATCTTAAAGTGCAGGCAGACTGATATGGGGCAGGTAATGTGGTCCTAAACTGTTTAAAGTTTTAAGGATCAAAATCTGCACTTCAAATCAGGGTGGAAATACCCAAGTAACCAGCGCAGTTATTAGCGTATAGGTGTTATATGATCAAATAGTTTTGCCCTGCCTACACTTGGGCAGTGGCAACCTGCACTAGCTGGAATTCCTGAACCATCTTCTTAAGCATTCTGACACACAGCACATTACAGCAGTCCACCTAGTTATCACGTATGTATGGTCCATCCTCTTCAGATAGACTGGTATTCTGGCTGTGGCCCTAAGCTAGTAGTAATCATTCCTGCACACTGCAGCTATCTGGGGTTCCCATGCAACCCCAACTGAGATCAACTTCCACTGATTCATCAATGCACAGAACCTCCATCTTGTCTGGATTAAACATACATACTTTCAAAATGTTCTTATCTTCTAGTATCATTTGGAGTCCATTTTTGAACACTTGAGCTCCCAGTATGAAAATGTCAAATAGAAAAATATGACTCTTTGTTGCAACCTAAGATTAAGCAAGCAGGACAGAAACCAAAATTAAAAAGGTCTGCCATTATCCAAATATTAGTATTATACTCTTTTCTTGGTGAGTACTGCCCTGATTCTAAATATATGTATCATTAAAGTTAGTGATGCCCATACTGAAGTAACATGGTTTTCACACTGGTTTGTGAAGCTCACCATTTCTTAAATATTTATTCATAAACAAAAAAGGTGATTCTAATTTCAAAGAGGACCAGTACAATAATAGACTAGTTATCATATGGTATATGAAGGCCTTATATGGTAAATGGATTCCTGAGCTTCAAATGGAGACGTTCCTAGGACAGGGGTCGGCAACCTTTAACACTCAAAGAGCCATGTGGATCCATTTCCCACAGAAAAGAAAACACCGGGAGCCGCAAAAATCTTTTGACCTCTAAAATGAAAATAACTCTGCATATATTGTTTTTCACCTTTATGCTATGTATAAAAAAACTATAGTGTGTTACATTTATGAAACAGATTGGGGGCTGTGCTGTGCCAGCGCGGGTCACAGATCGAGGGCTGTGCTGTGCCGGCGCGCTTTGCAGATCGGGGGCTGTGCTTGCATGTGTAGCAGATCGGGGGCTGTGCTGGCACGTGTTGAAGATCAGCGGCTGTGACATGTATTTTGAGCAATGGAGCTGCAGCAGAGAGATTCAAGAGCCACGTGCAGCTCCAGAGCCGCAGGTTGCCGACCCCTGTCCTAGGATAAATGCTAAAGATACTACAAGTATCTGTATGTGCAAAATCAGAATACCAGTGTGATCCAAGAGGACTGTCCAGAATCCTCTGATCTTGGGGGATTATGGGCATCCAGTAAATGGCAGGAGAATCACAGAAGCAAGGATGCCCTTCCCTCAACTGCAACCCCCCTCCCACATTCAGATGGCCAATTCTGGCTTTCTACTTGTTTTACATCATCTTGCTAAGAGAGGGGTGAAAAGGACAATTGTAGAATTGCAATGCCTCTCTCTTCTCCTCCCTACTGAATGTCCCTCCAGTCCCAGTTCCAAAATTAGTGTGGAAGCTGTGAGGGTGCTCTGAAGTCAAAGTCCTGGTGCATTTTTCTGAGGCTGGAGATGGGACTCCAAAGTTTCCTATGACTATCTAGTCTAGGATAATGCCCTAACAAACTCTCATACTCCCTCATCATATTAAGGTGTGAATCCAAGCCTGGATTTTTTAAATTTAAAAATTATGGCAAGTATTAGAAGTTCATACCAAGGTATTCTTTCCTCAGCAATTCTATTTTGTTCAAATTAGCATTTTGGTAAACTGAACTGTTTTGATCTCATCTCTGACTAAGCTCATCATGGCCTGCATTAATGTTTTGATCTTCTCAACAAGTTACAACCAATGTATGTACTAATGTTCTCCAGGGCTTGGAGCAAGTCGGAACTGAAACATGACCAAATTGGTAACCAAATTAGATAACTTTGATGTAATGTTGTAGGTGCAGGCTTTCATTCAACAGTATCTTCCATTGCAATTACTTTCCTTACCCTCTGCAGACCTATGAACACCTCCAAAATTTGCCCTCACCCTAAAGAGCAGATTTAGGGATTATGACAGGAGTGTAAAGAGGGAATTTGCTGTGTTGATGGATGCCATTTCATTGGTGGATGGATAAAATAGGATTTTAACCTGAAAATGTAAGAGTCCCACTACTCTGTTAACTTAGTAGGTGATAAGAACTAGCAGGGAACTGAGCTATTTAGGGTAGATACAGCGGTAAAACTGGTGTGGGGGGGGGGGTTAGACATCCTTTTAATTCAGGCAGGTACACAAAGGACAGGACAACACTCCAAAAATTACAAGATTAAAGGGAGAGAGGAGAGAAGGATAAGCAAGATTGCAGCACATCTTTTTCTTTTAGATATCTATTGATCAAAGGGAAAACATCTCCTAAGCAGCAAACTGGCCTACTTATGAAGCAGGGTGAGGTGTCTGCATCAAGCTGTGGGATAGCAAACTGTGTTCGCAGCCTGGCAAGCCCACCACCATGATCTCATGACCTCCAGTGAGTCCCACCAGCTGCTCTCCACCTGTGGCTTTTGCCAAAGTAAGAATGGCCAGTGGGGCTCTATGGACCAGCTCCCATCTTGCCTTTCCTTTGAGAATCTCATATATAGAAGTGCCTGCACAGCTCTTGCAAGACCAGTCTGAGCTCTCGTAAGAGCTCAGTCAGATTCTGTGAGTTTCCTGGAGATCTCCGGTGGCTCCCATGAGACCAGGGCAGATGCTGGTCCAAGGAGTGCGATAGAGCTGGTGCAACAGTGCTGACAAAGGTAAGTAGGGTGCATGATGTGGAAGGAGAGCAGGGAAGGAGGCGAGCAAAGAAGGATGTGAGGTGGCAGCAACAACAGCATCTGTTTTCCACTTCAGATGTGAGATTACTTGTACTAGGGTTGCTACTACGGGATTAGAATCAAAGTTTTTGACATACCAATTCAAACGTGCAAGGGGTTTTAGAAAGTGTATTACCTGCAGCCAAGAGAGCTTTCCATGACGGCACAGATTCACACCTTCTGCTGCTATACTACATACACTTTGCTTTTTGATGTGTATCATCTAGTGAAAAGAGGAAAAATAGTATAGGAGAACTCGGACAAAAAAACCCTACATGGATTATTATTTTTTGACAAGCATAAAGTATAAACCAAGCATGAATCAAATGGTAGTAGAATATCATGGATAGTCCACATGGTGCAAAGAATAAAACAGGATTTCAGTTCTTCGGACACTATTAGTATTTATTTATACAGAACTATCATATACACATTTTTACGGTTAAGACATTCTGCAGCACAGCAGAACATTCCCATCTTTTCACATAGCACAGCATTTACTAGACTGTTCTCTCTTGCCACAAAATGCCATTTACGCTGGAGTTATACTGAGGACTAGTATTAACATGCTGTTCTTTCTAGATCTATAAATATAACAAAGCCATAAAGCAGAATTATATTCAGTTTAAAGTTATTTAAATAAAATCTGACTATAGGTTTTTGGAACGCTGTCATAAATATGCTATTTGACATGCCTAAATCAATCAAAGGAAAAAAGTAAGAAAAACACCTTGAATAGAACTAACAGTATTGTACTTACAGCAGAACCAAATTTCCTCTGGAACTGATCAATAACAACATATTCTATGTCCTTCCCTTTGTTTTCATCTACAATAATAATGAAAGAATAGTAATGTTCTCTGTACCCGTATCACAGTAAACCTCATAAAGTAGGATTTAAAAAATCCATTATGCTTCCTCCTCTACAAAAAAGATATGGATGTCATTATAGCCTAGGTGATGTTAAAATCATTTCCAAACCAAGCATCTGAAGGAAATAAAAGTCAAGACTGCCTATATCATCATGGCTACCATGGTTTGAATGCATTCTTTAGAACTAAGCTTTGCAAATAAGTCCACAATTATTACAGTCCTGCAGCTCACTGTATTTCTATGGAGGAGTGCAGAAGAGGGCACTCCTAGCAGCCCAGTTGGCTTCTCTGGGTGCAGAGGAGAGACAGAGCACTCATCTCTCCTCCGTGAGCTTACTGACTTACCTGCATGCACATCCTCATTGCTTATGGCTACCAAATTTATGATTAACTATAAGACTGAAATATTCTGAACTGAATCATGTTGTGCTTTTGCACATAACCAGTGAGGCTTTACAGTGTTTTTTTTCCAAGCCGTTATAGCACACTGGCCATAAGTATTCCATTTTGCTGATTAGGTCTGAGGCTGAATTTCTGGTCGTCACCTGGAAAGGTATATTTGATGTTATGCAAACTCAGCTGTTGCTTCTCTTGTGACATGACATCAGAATTCTCAGTGCTTTGTTTTGATGCTTCTCCCCCATCCACAGCAGATTTTTCCGTAGTTGCAATTTCCCTGCACAAGGCACTATGGTTAGTAACAGAATCAGTACTGTAAGAATACAGGTAGGATACTTCTTACATTTCAGCTGACATGAGCATAAAATGATATTGTGTTTTGTTTTTACAGACATGACTTCCTAGTAGCATTTTTATTCCACCCTGCAACCAAAAAGGCTCAGGATAACTGAAGGGCTACCCTGTCCATCATACCCTTAAATCAGTATCTCTGGCCCGGTTTTATATTTCCAAACCCTGAGAGGCAGAGCAAGTACAGGTATGAAACAGAGCCTTCCTCACCACTGCAATGCTGGAATGTTATCTCAGAGAAATCTCTCTGGCTCAGCCACTCATTGCCTTTTTCAAAAGTGGCGAAAACATGGTCGGTTATGAAGACAAAGTGGTATTTGTGCTGCTAAATATTTTTAATGAAGTATTTCCCCTTTTACACTTTTATTAACTTATTTTTATAGCTACAGTATATAGTACACTATTAATTTTAGTTGTCTTGTACATTCCAAGTTGGGACCAACATGAAATGCTGTAAATACATAAAAGGTTAAAAGAAACAAATGAAGACAAATTGGAAATTTCTTCCATATGCCAGTCTCTACCCCCACTTCAGCCTTAGATATATTGCGCTCACTACTTTTCCGATGTAGGCAAATAGCCAGGCTGGGATGCAGCAGAAACATCATCTTGGAAGAAAAGGAGAACAAAACTTAAGAAGCAAGATAGACCGATCTGGGGAAAAGTGCAGAAGTCAGGAATACAGACATAATATATATGCGGGTAACACAGATAGATGAGGAAAGGAAAACTGCTGGCTGTAGGGTAGACGCAGGACTTCAGGACAAAAAGAATTATCCTTAGTTTTGAAAAACATACCGTATTTTTCGCTCTATAAGACACACTTTTTTCCCCCTCAAAAGTAAGGGAAATGTCTGTGCGTCTTATAGAGCGAATGTGTGTGTGCCCGACGCCCGGGACGCTGCCAGCACGCCTGCACCACGTGGCACCACCTGGCCAGCACGCGCTCGCCACCCCCCGCCCCCGGCTTCAACCCGCTGGCTGCACGGAGAGACTGACTGCTCACCCCCACCGCCCGGGAAGACCTGCCGCAGAGGAGGAGGAGCCGCGGGCTTTAACCCACCAGCCGCACGAAGAGACGGACTGCTCACCCCCACCACCCGGGAAGACCTGCCACCACTGCGCTGCCTGGAAGACCACCGCTGGCACGCTGCCGGCCCGGCTGCACCACGTGGCACCACCTGGCTGGCACACACTCGGTGCACCCTGCTCTGCCCCCCGGCACAGGTGAGAGCTGTGCCGCTCAAGGGGAGCGGTACGGAGGAGGAGGAGCCACGGGCTTTAACCCGTCGGCCACACGGAGAGACAGACTGCTCACCCCCACCGCCCGGGAAGACCTGCTGCCGCGCCGCCCAGAAGACCACCGCCGGCACACTGCCGGCCCGGCTGCACCACACCTGGCCGGCACGTGCTCGGCGCGCCCTGCTCTGCCCCCCTCCTCCGGCACAGGTGAGAGCTGTTAATCACAGGTCGGTGTATGTTTTCAAATGGCAACTCGTCTTTTAATGAAGCCCATGGGAAAATGATGGGGAATGTGCCTGTGATTATCAGGAAGCTTTCCATGGATCCCTCCTCTAAAAACTAGGTGCGTCTTATGGTCAGGTGCATCTTATAGAGCAAAAAATACGGTAGGTAAAAAGGGAAATGCTGCACAGGAAAAAATAGTGGGAAGCACATACACAGCATTAGGGACAGGATTTCAAAACTGACCATAAATGCTTGCCTGTATCAGCTTCCAGGAGCAACACTTGCTTACATTTGAAAATGGAGCTAAGCATAATGTAAAACAAAGGGTCTTTCAGATTACAAATTGCAATAGGACTATACTGTGTTTCTAGCAACATAGCTGTATTCTTTCAACTCACTTGATGTGGAGGAAGGATAATGTGAAGCTGAACTTACGTAATTATTTAAAAATTGTGTATATCACCCCCTTGATCTATTTATTTGTTAGATTTCTAGGCTGTCCCATTAGCCACATGGTTCTAGGAAGACAGCCCAACTATTTCATTCTCTTTCCTGGGCTACCAGCCAAGTTAGTAGTGTACAGATAAGATTTGTCATGAGAACAGTTTTGTTATGAATTGGTCTCTTCCTTCTTTCCTTTGGGTTATCAAACTCAAGACAATCCTTTAAAGCAGGGGTCTCAAACTC